ATGTAAATAGAGTTAGTGTTGTAAGTAAGCATTGGTTTCCCTTGTGTTATTGCAAATAAATAAATAAAAATATATATATATATATTTTCAAGAAAAAAAAAAAGTTCATAAAGGGAAATGGTTAAAAAAAAAAACCTGGCAAAGTTCTTTGTGTTGTTTTTGTCGTCTATTTTGGGGATTGACTCTGCACAAAACCTTGCAAAAACTGATGCAAAAGGTGGTTATGTATGCTCATATAACTAACCAGTGGAAGCATTGCGATGATGTAGTTCATGCATAGTCAGTGAGCATAAAGATGTGCAGGGTCAAGGACCTTCCAACATAAATCTTAGCCTGATTGTTTGCTTCTTTGATGTTTACCGAGCTTTTTAACCATTCCTTCTATTAACTATGCGCAGACAGGTGAGGAGTATAAAGAAACCTTGAATGAAAGGCTGGCTGATTATTACGTGAAGGTTTTTCATCTCCTTTCAAATTTTAGTACAACTCCAGTTTACAGATATTTCGTTATTTTCACAGAAGTCATTGAATTCAAAGATAAAACAATTTCAGTTGTTAATTCAACCTTGAGAATTAATTTAAGCTTGACAAAAAGCTGTTCTTTATTTTCGGTGGCGGAAATCAAGTAAAATGCTGATGTTTTCTCCGCACATTTTTTTTTTTCTGTTTCCATTTTTAGTATCCCAGTCGCACAAAGTTCTCTCAGGCGCCAGGGGAAAGCTAGAGGTAAGAGAAAGCTTTGCCTCGCTGTAGGATTATGACTTTTTAGATTTAAAGGAGCTCAATCACAAAATTACCTTTACATTGAAGGAATTCTGGAAATAGTAGTTCAATAAGATAGCAAAACACCAAAGAGACAATAATAAAGTTAACCATAAAGGAACAAGGATGATTAAGAATGGAGAAGATAAACAAACGACGAACTTGAAAAAATTAGGCTAAATTTTTCAATTTGCGCAAACCGTGACATAGCTTCTTTAAAGAAGGCTTATCGCTGATGCACGCCTTGGAAACATTACGCCAGATAAGAATGTTGTTCGTAATCTGTCTCAGTGTAACCCATATTTGTTCTTGGAGGTTTACAATTAGTTTATTGTTGTTTTTGCTACCTTAGTGAACTACCATGAAATTCCTATAATAATACCACCGCCGCGAAAATAAGGATTACCTTAAATAAGCACCCCCCCCCCCCCCCCCCCCCC